GGACTGATGTGGAAAGGTATTGCTGATAGATGCACACACAGTAAAAAGAAGCTTTCTTTTTAGGCAGAATATGAATAAATTCCTAAGAATTTAAGAGTGAGACCAAGATTTTCACATTCATTTTTTTTTCTTTGTGCCATCTGTGTTACTTGTACCCATCACCCTCTCCATCCCTTCTGTTCCTTTCAGTTACAGGTTAAATCATCTTTTCTCATAGCAGACTATATGTATGAAGCCAATAAACTATTGTTGGCACCAACGAGTCTTGGGATTTATCATGAACTGGGGGTGGTGGAAATGCCCTGCCCCGGAGATGTGGTGATAGATAGCAAAACTGCCTCTCCTCTGGCACTGGGACTTACTCAGTCTTGTTCTTCTGAGCCTACCTCATATATCAGAGGCAAGGGGCAGGGTTTGTTCCAAAAGAGAGATTATGAATGAGCTAAAATATACCTGGGAGCAGACTTTCTATGTCTCATAGCTATTCGAGATTCCCCAGACTGACATATGACGACATTACAGTTTTTACTGTAACAGACGTATCCAAGGAAAGCTGCTATAATTTACAGCAGGCTTGCAGAGCATCTGCCACGGGATGATCATCAATTTAAACTGTAAATAATGCCTCACTTTGTTCTGGACTCTGATCCCAGTAATACCCTTAACAAGCTGCCTGCAAAGCCAGGGCACGATGCCCACGGTTGGATGTATGTTGACTGAAGAACTGCGCTAGTCCTCAAAAAAGTGGCTAAAAATAGCAGTAAGAAGGGGAAGGCACAGAGGGGTTTCTGGGAATGCAAAGCAGTTGCCCTGATGTTGTCAGTTTTATTCCAGTTGTTCCCACTGAAGTGAGAAGCAGAGGGGAGCATTTGGTACAAAAGATGTTAACTTGCAAGATAGCACCCGGGAGACCTGAAAGAATTAATACAGAGCTTTAAAGGAGACTGCCCTTTTCACTGGAGGATAACGAGAGTCCTGGGAGAATTGGAGCGAACATGAGTGCCTTTGTCCTGCATAATTAATGGAGTCTTATACTTCTTTCTTCTTCTTCTTTTTTATATTACGCTGTATTGATTAGGGGAGATATTTTACACTTTAAAGTGTTGTGCAAGTTCTATCTTTTAGTTCAAGTATGTCCCTTTGGGGTAGAAGTATGTATCTCATGGTGATAAATTGATCTCATAAGTAGAAAAACTGTATACTAATATACTGCTATGTCAACTTTATTGATTTTTGTACCACTGTAAGGCCCTTCATCGTCCTCCAATATTTCTTAAATCTATCAGCATCTCAGAAAGTGACCCTGAAGGCCTCATTTATCTACAGAGGAAAAGATCCCTTTGTTTAGTTTCACCCATAAACATTGTGATTTAAACAGTTTAGGGACCGCCTCTGCTTCTGGGAAGGTAAGGGGCCCAGAATGAGCTGTGCTCTCAGTCATGGGCAGTGACTTCTCTTTACGTGGAAACAGGGTCAGCCAAGATGAAATAGCTAAATGTCCATGACCAAATGCTCTTCTTAAAGTCCTCCAGATAACTAGAGATTAATTATATAGCCTGATTAACGTGGTACAATCGGTTAAGCACTGGGCTACTAGACAAAAGGTTAGTGGTACAAACACACCCAGAGGCATCTCAGAAAACAGGCCTGGGTATATGCTTCCAAAGGTCACAGCCTTAAAAATGCTACAAAGTAGTTATACTCTGCACACCTGGGGTCATCATGAATTAGAATCAATCAGTAGCAACTAACAACAACTGAACGGAATGGGTTCTTTGCCAGGGCTGTGTGCAGTATCCCATCCAAGAATTGCTGACCATCTTAGAAGCTGTATCTAGACTTGAGAGCCTTATCCTTCCAGTCCCGCTCATGAAAACTACCTTCAAATCTGCACACCGTCCTCCTCATACTGTTCTGCAGCTATGGAAAAGTCTGTAATGACATTCAGTATTCCGCACCTTATTATAATGTTATTTTAGCATGCTACTCTAACACACACCAATCGAAGAGTAACTATCAACACAGGAGAACAATCCTAGGTCTCTGTCAGCACCATTAGTATAGAGATCTTTGTTTCTGCTTACGTCACTTTACAAATGGGGAATAAAAGGTTCCCGCTGTACTGTCAGTGAGTCCACTCCAACTCATAGTGAGCCTATAGGAAAGAGTTGAACTGCCCCAAGGCTATAAATCTTTATGGAAGCAGGCGGCCTCATCTTTCTCCCATGAGCACCTGCTGGGTTTTAACCACTGACTTTCTGGTTAGCAGCCCAATGCTTTAACCAATACCAGAGTGCCTAATACAAGGTGGTGGTTGTTGTTATGTGCCGTCAAGTCGGACCCGACTCATAGCTACCCCTCCTTGTGTTGCTGAGGTGGTATCACTACGGAAGTGGATTGCCCAACTTTCCTTCCGAGGAGTGGCTGGTGGGTTTGAACTGCCAGCCTTCTGGTTAGCAGTCAAGTGCCTTACGCACTATGCTACCAGAGCTCCCAATACAAGGTTAGGAAAATTTAAATGACTAGCACATGGTTACCTGCTATAGGAGCAGAGTCAACACAGGAACTTACATTCCTGAATCTAAGCTGAAGGATACTTCTATTACAAATAGTCATACTGCATTTACTACATGAATACCAGGCATTTCAGGGTCATTTCTCTTGGTACATAGCACACTGCCTAGTATACAGTTTGTCGATTGTCATACTTACTGAAAATGTGAGCTAGAGGAAAAACAGATAGGGATCAATCCAAACCCAACAAATACAACTAAATTTCATTATAAAAATAAAGGATTTAAGTTAAATGTCTCAAAATTTGAACTACTAACAGTAGAACCAAAGTGTTCAGATATAATTGTTGATGATGGACCAGTAACCAGACAGAAGGGGAAGACAAGCTGTGTTCAGGACACAGCTCTAAAGGTGTGAGGTTGGCATTGCGTTCTGCTGTCCAATACTGTGGCCACTAGCCACATGTGACTAAATTAATTAAAATTAAGTTCAAAAAGCTGTTCCTCAATCACACTAGCTGTATTTCAAATGCTCAGTAGCTACAAGTGGTTTATGGCTTTAGTATCATACAACTCAGGGGACCATTTCCATCATCTAAGACACTGTCATTTATGGAGGACAATCACTACCATTACTTCCAACATTCATATGAAGATGACGATGAGAAAAGGAGATAAAGGAGAGAAGAGAAAACACTGATTGAGCATTTTCTAATCTATGCTAAGCACTTAAAGTGCTTTATTTCATATAACCCTTACAATTTCCTTTATGAGGTAGGTACTATAATTATACCATCTTAAATTTGATGACATAGTGCTTGGAAAGATTAAGTAAATCAGCCTAGTTACACACTTGGTAAGTGTCATGGCTGGGTTTTTCATTCAAGCCAAGTGACCCCAGAGTCTATGCTCAAATGACAAGTTATGCTGATTCTACTGGAGATCTTGAAATATTTAGAGCCAGAGGAATATTACACTTTACTGTGGTGGTTATTAATCCTAGATGCATATAAAATAAACATCTGAGGAACTTTCTAAAGATACAGTTAGCAGAGCTTTTCTCCAGAGCAACAGGGGTGGGGCCTGTGCCTGCACATTTAGGGACCACTTAGTGCCCTTAATGTACAACCAGAGTGCAGGATGACTGCTTTAGAGCTGTTAAGTCCATCTTTGGCTGTTCCCTCTGAGGAAATTCATAACCTATCCAAGATCACAAACTGTGACTAATGACAGATCTAAGATGAGAATCCAGATATTGGTATTACCATCAAGACAGAACACTGCCAAGGACCAAAACAAGAAAAAAAAAAAAAAAAAAAACTCACTGCCATTGAGTCAATTCAACTTATAGTGACCCCTCCTTGGGTTTCCAAGGTGGTATCACGGAAGTAGATTGTCCAATCTTTCTTCCAAGCAGTGGTTGCTGGTAGATCTCAACCACCAGTCTTCTGGTTAGCAGTCAAATGCCTTAGGCACTATGCCAACATATTAATGAATAGTGGCTTTTTTTTCCCCCTGTTTCTCAAGGAAACCCAGGTTAGACTTTGAAATTGTCAGTCAGAGTGCAGAATTTGGGAATGCAACTTTATAAACAAAGGGATGGATGTAACACCACTCTCCTCCTGAGACAAATAGGTCTTTCTCATATAAGGGAAACATTTTTCTTCCCATAAAATAATTTCTCTGAAGAGTAGATAAGCCCTCTTAATGGGAGCAGCATAATCTTGTGTAAATAGTACTGACTACCAGCAAAGACACCTAGATTTTAATACCAACTGTGCCCATGACTCTCTGATAGAAGTAAAGCATCTCTTTTCTCTGAACCTTAGTTTGCTTATTTATAAAATTAGAATGTTTGTAATCTCCAAGGGCCCTTCTGGCTAAGATCCATTCCCACAAGGCACCAATCCACCACTCTTTCCAAGGAACTGTCTTCTTCTGTCAAATGCAGTGTCTCTATCTTGATATTTGTGTCCAGGTTGAACAAACATTAGAATGAAAAGTCCAACTTGCCACAGGACAACGTGTTCACTTAAATTCTACTTAAATTATTCACTTGATGTCAGGGGAACACAGGGGAAGGGGGAGTGGAAGGGAGAATCTGAGGGAAGGCCCATCTCTTCTGCTGTCTTGTCAAGGTTCCTTTGATTCCTCTGACAGATTGGCCAGAGCTCTTATGAGAGAGACAGCAGCATCTACTCAACAAAGCTCATTCCTGTAGCAGCCTTTCAGAAATGGAAGTGATCCACCTACCCTTCTCCCTCCCACATTCACCGCTGCTGATCAGAAAATTAGGATGTGTCAGACTTTTTTTTTCCTCACCTTTACATCCATCAAGTCATCTTTACATCTCTAATCCTTGCTTAACTGTAATGGATTTTCAGATAGCTAGAAACATTTTTTTTTTTTTTTTGGTTTAGAGAGGTCAGCCAACCAAGACAAAAGTCATAACATGAATAAGTCGTATGCTGAATATACATTTCTTACCTTCCGCTTGTTGGTAGGACAGACATACAGATAGCTCAGAATTGTCTTCAACCCAACTTTATCATTCAGCTTCTCATAGGTTGTCCCATAATCAGTTGACCTATAATTCAAAAGGACCATTAATGAGGACAGAAGTATTCGTCATTTGGCTGCTTGTCAGGATAATGCGTGTTTTACATGGTAGAATGGCCCTCTGGAGGTTTCTGAATGATTCATGTAGTATATAATGATGCTTAATTATGTACACAGTAGCATCATGTGAGTGGTTAACATTTGCATTTAAATTGAATTGGTAAAAATTAAAAATCCATCTCTCAACTGCTTCTAAATGTATGCACATTGCATAAGGAATGTAGTTAATTTTAAAAGATTAAGAGATGAGGGTGTTCTTTGGATTTGAGCAAAGAAAAAAGTGTTTTCAATTGCATCTGACATTTCCAAACTTTTGCTTTATCACAATGAAAAAGAAGATTCTCCTGATTTATCTACAAATTGTGTTTTCCTTCATGAGTCATAGAATATGTGGTAGGTCAGTCCCTTCAAAGGTCAGTCCATCTTTTCCTACTACTAAAAGCAAGAAAATGTGAAATTTCAGTCTGACTTAGTGCTGTTTTCCCATGTTAAGCAACTGTGGTGGTTACGTTTGTATGTCAACTTGGCTGGGCCTGATTGAGTGGCTGGGCAGCTGGATGTAGTATTCCCCATGATGAGACTGGTAATCAACTCCATGGCAGAATCTACTGTGAGCAGCTGAGTAGCTGCCTTTGGGTGTGTGGTCTGCATTCCATATATAAGTAGCACCTTTCGCTTTGGTCTCTAGCTTATGGCACACTTGGGCCCTACATGTAGCCATGTTGTTGTTCAGCAGCCTGCCATGCTCTGCCAACCTTGGGATTTACAATGGACTTGAACTGATGGCCTGCCATGTGGTATGGTAACATTGAGACTGTGCCTTTTTACTTGTTAACCTTGGACTTCTCAGCTTCAGCAGCCAGCAGCTGTCTGAGTGGAGAAATGCCTCTAGCTCCAGTGGGGCGGGAGCAGGAGGCAGAGCTGGACCCAAGGTTGAGGGGCACTCAGCCCCTAGAGCCTGGCACTTTGAACTTGGACTTAAACCCTCCAAACTAAGAGATTAAACTCCTGTTTGTTAAGGCCATCGCATTTGTGGTATATTCTTGTCAGAGCGGCACTAGGGAACCAGAACAACAACCCAGAATTCTGAGGACATAAATTTCTTAGTGTTGCCTTTATCATTCTTGAAGATTCTCTCCCATTTATCAAGCCACTGAATAAATAGGTTTTTATCACCTTCTCCATGAAGGTCTCCTATGTACTTCAGAATCATTATCTTATTATATCATCATTACAATCATGTACAGTAAAGGATATTACCTGTACTTGATGAAAGATGTTAAGTGACCTGTTCAAATTCACATAGCTAATAAGCAGTCCAGTTGGAATTTGAATCCAGGTATAGTAGCCTAAGCCATGAGCCTCTTCATTGTATTACAGCTGGGTTTTTTAATACTTAAAGGAGAGAGATCAAATGTCCACTTTCTTCTTTTGCCATGTAGGAGGGCCCAATTTAAGTCATTCATTCATTCACGTTTATACCGCTGCTAAAATGTGCCAGGCACTGTGCTACATTGCTGGGATACAGTACCTAACCACTGTTCACAAGAATCTATTACTTTGAGTAACCCCTACTCTCAAGAATTTAACAGGTTTGTTTGAGAGAGAATGCAACATCAGAAAATAGTTACAATGAGCTAAATGCAATGATAGAAATGTGAATTATAATGCTTAGAAAATAAAGTTGGTCTAACTAGAAAAATAACAAGAAAATAATGTAATCATTTAGATTATTTTCTTATACCAATAAAAGTTATAAAAATCAAGTAGAAAAAGATTGTGCTAACAACCTCACTACCACCATTCATTAAGAGTCTTCTCTAGACCTGGCACTGGAGAGAAAAAAAAAAAGATGTATAACATATGATTATGAAATTAAGAATCTGTTATTGCTGGGGATTCAAGACATTCTTTTCTAAAAGAAATACTGATGTAAGTCAGTCCATGGTAACTACCAAAGAGTCAATACATTTTAAGATTTAGACAATATTACACATCATCATAGATAATGATATTATTCAAGGGTTCTTGGAAGAAGTCAGGAAATGGAAAATGGATAGGACCCTTTCAAAACAGGAAGTAAGAAAAATGTCTTGGACTAGAACATACCTGTGTAACCCAATAAATCACTGGTTTTCTTCAGGACCAGTTACTCAACCACCCCATCAAATAAACCTCAGCTTGATAATCAGGAATATATGAGGGACATTCCAAAACTATTTCACAAGAGAGTTTATTCATGAATAAAGACTTCTTAAAGTCCTTCTTTTGTATCCATCAATGTCCCTTCCAACCTACACCTGACATGTAGATATTTACTTCACTCTCCATGAAAATCTGGAACTTTCTTCCCTCATGCAGTCCACCCTTGGTGTTTGCCATTTCTTCCACTCCTACCCTCGCCTATCTGGGCCAACATGTTCCTCTATGCAGCAGTTCTACACTGCACACACACAGCCATCAGAATGAGCTGCACCAACAACAGTGTTTGCTTGTCCCAACAACTTTACAAGCCAGTCTCTGACTCCTTCTACTGTGTAGCTTGTTCTATTCACTTTTCTGGACAATAATTAAAAACTCAAAAATTACACAAGCAAGTGCAAAATTCATCGTGGGGGGGGTGAGTATAGGGTGGAATGTATAAATACTCCTCCATTAATAAATTTTGTTAGAAGTAAGTGGGAATACATTGCACATGAGGTAATTGCTCAATTTTCCTAGCAGAATAATGGGAAGGAAGCTAGAGAAGTAGGAATTGGGCTACGGGGACTGCAATAATGACCTGCTTGTAACTGTTACTATTCACATTTCTGTGATCTCTAAACAAGTCAATATTTCCATGTTCAAAATACATACTCTACAACTATTCACATTTCTGTGATCTCAAAGCTAGTCAATATTTTCATGTTCAAAATACATACTCTACAAAGGCAAATGAGGATGATTCTTTAGGGATTCTTTGTGGAATCAGCTTTTTTTGTGTGTATGTGTCTCTGTGTGTAAATGAAATCCCAATTGGACAAGATGATAATGGAGTGACTAGCATATATTTATATTAGCAACTTTCCTTTAAGAGAGATTATATTATGTTATTGGATACTTTTCTCTTATGATAATATCATCTACCCACCAATCCAGACTCCTGAAAGTATCTGCCACTACTTCTGTGCCATCTCAACCCCTTCATTTAAAAAAAGCTCAAAAATGAAACCAAAAACTCAGTGACAGCTGACCTAAAGACTTAAACATTATAGCATTATAATATACCACGTAGGGAAAAAAAAGATACACTTTTACATGTTCAAATGGTACAGAATAGCGGTTCTCCTAGGGTGCCCAAAGAACTAGAAGAATAGGTGCAACTAGATTAGGGTAAGAGTGTTAACAGCATCATGGGTGGAACTAACAATCACTTGGCATACACTGCTTCAGTGGTACAGCAACTCTGGGCATGACAATATTAAATACTTGCAAATCAATCACTAAGTAATCAGAGCCCCAAGCTATGCAAGTAGTTGCTTTTCTCACCCTCACACCATGGACTCTCTCTTGAAGACCTCCTAGATCTCTGCACAGGATGGCAATCAGAAGATTGAAGGTTGCTCAGCAGAGGATCCCAAGACAATTGCTCCAATATCAAGACCAGCATCTGTTCTGAATGGTCAGTGCATATGCCAATCAGCTTCAGCCACAGTGGGGGAGACAATGACCTAGAGGGTGGCACTGTACATTGGAATGTAATTCTGAGTACCTATCTGCACCACTCTCCTTCACACCTAATAGCTTGCCAATTATCTTCACATGATCATTGGTGAGAACTGCAGTCTCCTAGGCACCTGGGCTGGGAGCTCTGGTAGCAGGCAGTGAGTTTTGTTTGGTTTAGTCACCTGGGCTATAGAAGAGAAACAGAAAGGGTAGCAGTGGGCTGCCTGGCAGGCCAGCAAACTGCTTGATAAATATTTTAACTATCATCCCTGGGTAAGCGGGTGGGTGTTTACCAAGATCAGAAATGATTTGGTAAAATTTAATGTTCTTTTACTTCACAGCTTTTCATAAATTTAATATTCTAAATGTGAAGATCTTAAACATATATTCCATGCAGCACTTTCCAAACATATTTCCATTCTTGAGGAGACTCTAATGAGATTAGTGTTCTGAGCAACACACTGAGAGAAACATATTACAAACAACAGCAACAACAAAAAAGATATGGATCTTGACTATAAAAGAAAAGGGGAACAATAAAGGTATTTTCAAAAGATCAAATTTGCAAACAGGAGTGGCAGAGTATGTTAACCATAAAGTGACTACTGTTATAAAGAAAACAAAGGAAGGAAGTTATCTTAAAAACAAAACAAACAAAACAAAACAAAAAAACCCATGATACATAGACTTATTTAAGATGCAACCTAAACCAAAACCCAATCCTGTGGTGATTGAGTTGATGGTAGCATAGTGCCTAAGGCACTTGACTGCTAACCAGAAGCCTGGCAGTTCAAACCCACCATCCACTCCTTGGAAGGAAGGTCGGGCAAACTATTTCCGTAGTGACACTGCCTCGGAAACCCAAGGAGGGGTCGCTATGAGTCGGGTCCGACTCGACGGCACGTAATAACAGTGACCCTGTAGGACAGAGGAGAACTGCCCCATTGGCTTTTTGAGGCTGCAGTTGTTATGGAAACAGAGCACCACAGCCTTCTCTTGAGGAGCAGCTGTTGTGTCCAAAGGACAGACCTTGCTATTAGCAGCCAAGTCTTAACCACTGTGCCACCAGGACTCTTCCATGCACTAGAAGCAGCCTTGACTTCTCAACTTGCACAATTTTTGAAAAGCATTTCTTTCTTTCTTTCTTTCTTTTTTTTTTAGGTGTTGTTTACAGGTGACTTATCACAGATGAAAAACAGGGCTTCTGTCAACACCTATACTGTGTTAGAAGCAGCAGAAATCTTAAAAAAAAAAAAAAAAAAA